TAAGATTTCACTGTACATGTATGTCCGAAAGGACATATTGAATGAGAACCCCAGGAAATAAAAATAATAAAAGCAAAATGATTTATTGATGAAAGAAATTAAAGCACAAATGGTAATTAAAACAATGCATGAACAAAAATAATTTCAAGTGCACATCAAGAAAATGGAACTTAAGTAGCAAAAATTAGATTAATCGAAAATGGAAAATGTCAATTGACAGAAATATAATTTAAAAAACTAGTAATATAATGCATAAAAATGATTTTCTCTGATTTTCAAACACCATAATTGGCGGGTGAATTCAAAGCTATCATAACATAGGGGATTCAGACAAATAAAAATATTAAGAACAGAAAAAGACAGGACAATTTGGATATGTAAATACAGAAAATAAAATAATGATGATTGAGAAGAAAGGAATATTAAAAATATAATTATGCAAGACCTAGTATGGCACAATTTGTTGAACTACTTAAGTCCGATTCAGAAAATATACTTAAAGAACTTGGAAAATGTGTGTGTTAATGGTTTTAAAAGATTGTAAACTTATCATACAGCAATATTAATAATAAGAAATACTCCTCATAGTTCCTTTTTTCTTTTTCTTTTCTGATTTTTTTTACATACATATTTTTTTGTAAAATTATATAATAGCACCTGTGCAACACCTGTTAACCAATGTCTATGAAGTAATGTTATATGTTTCTGGCAATATATATATCATGTATACGTCAATAAAGGTACCTCTAATGATATTTGTTCCGTATAGTAGGATTTGAACAAAATGCGATAATGCATTTCTAAAACTTATAGTGTTAACATTGATTAATATAATAATACGAGGGTTGTCCAAAAAGTTTGTGGACAATGACGTTTTTGTGAAAATAAATGGTTCTGTATAAACCTGTTGTATATCAAAATATTTCTTATGAAAAAACAAGTCAGAATGATTAAATTTTTATTGATGGAACGTAATATTTTTGTAAAAATCGGGGTCTTTAGAGGTCGTGGATAGTGCGCAAGGACCAAGGTTAAAATGATGTAAACTCTGAAATAAAGAGTTCGGATTAAAATGATTATTTTCTATATATAACAAGTCAAAAATTAATAAAAAATTTATGTAACACAAATTAAGAGGTTATTATCATTTTATAATATCTTAAATATCGCTTACTATATACACAACGAAAATACACAAAGAAAACCTTAGCAGGTACGTGTCAAAACTCAACAGAAAAAGTGACGTCGCCCGTCGGCATGGGTCAGCATCCGGTCAAAAAATTAAGTTTTATAACGGTTGAAACGATGTAAGAGACAAAATATCTGTTAAAACAACTCAAAATTATTGAAATATATTGAATGTATTGATTTGGCATTCGTATAAACGATTTTTCAACAGTGTGTACAAATTCGAAGTCACTACAAGAATTTAAAAACACATGTAATTAACTGTAAATGGGGATTTCTATTCACGACGTTGTTATAAATCTAGCGCAGCGTCGGACTGGGCTGTTCAGTTTGGATATACAAACTTTTTATTTAGATGACGCTAGTAAATTTGTGTGAATTGTTTTGAATTCTAAAAATTAAATAAATTATAATCTATCCTTAAAGATTATTGCTAGCACTTCGAAGTGCATTGCGCCTTAAAAAAGAAACGTAGTGTGTGTCCATGAACATGCGTTAAGTCAAAATCCACATGTTTGATGTTGTAATGAAATTAGCGTAACGTCATACTGGTCCGTGCGCACAATCTGCAATCTTTAAAGACCCCGATTTTTACAAAAATATAAAGTTTCATCAATAAAAATTAAATCATTCTGACTTATTTTTTCATGAGAAATATTTTGATATACAATAGATGCATATAGAACCATTTATTTTAACAAAAACGTCATTGTCCACGAACTTTTTGGGCAAACCCTCGTATATTGTACTTCAATTCCAATGGTGATAACACATCATTTCTGAGTTTTGCAATATAATTGGAAAAAAACATAAACAAAGATACAAGTAGCAACAGACACTAATATTCAAGCAACAATAAAACATATCTTTTTTGGTCCCCAAGTATGATTCATATGTACCTAAAGTTAAAATTACCCCAGTTATATTGAATTGCCTTTCTTTAAATATATATATTTCAAAATTATTTAAACACTTCCTCCAATAAATAATCATTTTCAAAAAATCAGTTACCACCTAAAGTAAAACGTATGTAAATATTTTTTTTTTGTGAAATTGTAAAGATACTCTCACTTGTCAATTGTATTACATTATTCTAATAAAGGAATTGAAATGTCACTTTAATTAATTTTTGGTGTTTCTTTGATATTTCCTTTTATTGTTAAAATCACTAACAATCCAACTATGGCAATATTTATGTGACAGACAAGTACGTTATGTATGAAAACAATCTAACTATGAATGTGACATAAAATTTGAAGCTGTCCTTTGCGTTGCAAAGAAATATGCTCAACTTTAGCAGATTTTCCATTAAAAATCGATTTTTTTTTTTACATTTTTAGTTGATTAGGCTTTACAATTGTAACATCAATATTTTTCTTATCAATAATAGTTTGCATTCCTTATCTTTAAAAATACATGTTTACTAGTAATACAATTATCTGACAAAGAGTCAATGAACAAAAATCAAGCTAATGCTAAATGCGGAAATCTGATTAAAACATACTCCTATAATACCTTAACTATAAAAGAGGAAACTAGTATAATAAGATAGTTTTTGATAAAATATAAATAAAAAAAATATAAAATATACGTGAATATGCTTAGATACAATAATTAAAAAAGGAATACATAAATCAAAATGATGTATAGGAGGAAAATGCTCAGTTCAGTAATTATAACACATAATAATATCCCTTAGACTAGTTCTTTTTGTTACCCTTATTTTTATGAATCCTTCTCTTACAAGTACACAAAGACAAAACTATTTTAAGTGTTGGCGTATACACTGTCTGTATTCAGAAAATCTGAAACTGCTTTGTAACATAATTCGTACTCTTCCTGAAATAAGAAATACGACAAATTATATCTTAATTTTTATCATGGATTCAATTCTATGATAAATAAAAAATAAAATAAACAATCTAGAGTTTGGTTTGAGAGATGAAAAAATTTAAAGTCCACAGATTAATGCAAAATGTTTTTCCTTTCCCTTTGCCCCAGATTATGATTTCCTGAATGGTCAGCGCAACTTATATTATTTACATTATAATTTTCATATCGAACGTTAAGTTAACCATTGTAACAAAACCGTAGTTTTGAAAAAAAAATGAAACACTATAAAAATAAGTACCGAGACGACTCACTGGTCAGTAGTGCTCTATTTCTTGTTGGAAAACGAAAAAAAAAGTGTTCAAAACCCAGCCCATGACATAGAAGGAAAAGTCAAGAAAAATGGAAACTGTTTAAAATTGTTAAAAATAAGCAAACCTGATTCAAAAATTTTGTCAGTGTATATTCCACATGGCAGAAATGTTAATAAATATATATTCCCATTTTATGTGTTTAGTGTAAAAATTGTTTTCTTTGCATTTGTCATTATTTACAACTGGACAAATTGTACTTTCATAATCATGAATACGATATGTCAGATAAATTTTTGAAATGATGTCATTCAACTTTTAGGGTAATTTCGAAATATGAATGAGAACAGTTTTTAGACCACTGGTGAAATTGAAAACAAAAATCTTTGAGAAAAATAGAAATATTACACAATCATCTGTTAGTACCTTTGAAGATACCATCTCTGGTCTTCTACACTGTATCTGTTGTACTATTGTAGATATATCCACCTCGTTCTCTTGTTGTAGCTGTTCTATGGCGTTATATACAGCAATAAATACTCCACAGCAGGTTGCACCGTCCCTTTTGAAAAGAGAAATGCAATAAGTAACACAGGCGTCGATAAATATATATACACCCAAAACTAATATAAGGATAGGAAAATCGTGAAAAATGAAAGAAAAAAGTACTGAATGGACGTGTCTTCTTTAAATTTAAGTTACAAGTGTTTTATGTAAAATCAAAGAAATAAGAAACAAATAAAACAGTGTAAAAATGAATTTCTTTTATATAAATTACATTGCAGAACACATTAATTCTTAATGACTCCTTCATTCTCCCTTATAATCAGTAACACGGGTAAAATGGTATGCACTGTGGCAACGCACTTTGAAAAAATTACGCACTTTGAAAAATTTTTTCAAAGTGCGTTAAAATTGGGACAAAATCAACGCACTTTGAAAAAATTTTTCAAAGTGCGTTAAATTTTGGACCAACTCAACGCACTTTGAAAAAATTTTTCAAAGTGCGTTAAGAGTCTACATCAATATATTTTACCATGGAGACACTTAACGCACTTTGAAAAAAAATCATATTTTAGTCATGAAAAGATTTTATTTGTTTTTTTATCTTTCAAAAAAACTAAGCCTAAGCCTAACCTCAAAAATGAATTGATTTACTCCCGTCGAAAAGAGAAGACGGATATAAGATCCCTATGTCCAAATCGTTATCTTTCCAATACATAGGTGTCGGTAACAAACGGGGGAGGGGAGCAATAAACCCAAAAAGGGGAAACTGCATTTTCAATGCTTATACGATGTATATATCTTTCCAAAATAAGTGGGGGGCTTAGCCCCCCCCCCCATCCCCCTATGGCCCTTCGCCCAGTCTCGATGTCTATGCTATAACCAAAGCATTCATATAATTATGTATTTACCTAACTTGTATGACGTTGAAAACTTTCAATAAAAAATGAGTTAATTAAAACAGATGAAAACTAGAATTTTTAAAGTACAGTTAAACGTTTGAGAGGGAAAGAATTTTCATAGTTTTGAACAATCAAGTTGCCCCTTTTTATCAATGAATTTTATGAAGCTGTCCTCTGTTAGTACCCCTATATACCTTTATATCTACTTATCAGAAACAATCGTCACTCTTTTTTTCAAGACCCTTTAATTTTTCCTTTATTTTATCAAAACCTTAAAGCGTCAATATCTCAGGTCCTATATACAGTGAATTTATCATAAAAAGTTATCAAATCAGGATCTGTTATTTATCATACCGATTATTTGAAGTAATATTGATCAATCTTTACATTTTTTTCAAAGTGCGTTAATATGGTCGATATTAACGCACTTTGAAAAAAAATTATTTTTTTCAAAGTGCGTTAGCTTGGTCCCAAATTTTAACGCACTTTGAAAAAATTTTTCAAAGTGCGTAATTTTTCAAAGTGCGTTGTAACAATGCACGCTTTTGTAAAGAACACACCTATTCATGCAAGGCGTAGTGTCAATTTTAAGGGAGCCGGTAGGTGCCAGATAGAATATTTTATTTTACCTGGCACCAAGCGGCTTCCATAAATAATCTAAATTGGACAAATCATCAAATGATTCTCACCACATACACATGTTTTATATACATGTAAGAAAACTTGTTTATATGAGAATGCAGTACATACTTCGATATAACAGTTATATGTCCGTTTGGGTGAGACTTGCGATCGAGGCTGAACTGTTGTAGAAGGTTTATCAAAGAAGACGTTTCTGCTGGAAGAGCATCAGTAGAATTCCAATTCATGCATTCAAATATCTGTACTGCGTGGGCCTTTTTGTTAAACTGCAAAAAATTAGCACAAGTTTGACTGTTTGTTATAGAATAATCTGTATGCATAAAGTTTTATATTAAACCATTTTAATACAAGTAATACTTTTCGATGCTTAATCTTAAACCATTGTATTGCAAACTTAGAAAAAAAAATAAAGTTAATACATTAATATTACGTTCCACAGTGAAACTTTACGCTAGAATTTTTTTTTAAAACATTTAGAGCCCTAATATATTTCCAAAATTTCAAACCAGTGTTGTAGTTTTATGAGAAAAAATAGGCTTCGATTACTTTTCACTTGGATAAATATTTGTTTTTCACCCGTCGCATATGGAAACCTTTCAGAATGAAATTCACATGTACTACTCTTACATTATCAGATTAATATTTATTGAGCTTACCCCTTTCTTTGTTATTTTTATGTTTGTCTTTCTCATCTCGTCCGACAGTGTTTTCTGTTCCTCGCGAACAATTGTATAAGGATTTAGCTTAACATTGCCAGCTTTTCCTTCAACCCAATTTTGTAGCTGGAATAATAGCCATAAAGATAAGCAAAAAAGCGATATTCAATGAAGAATCAATAGAATTCACAAATCTATTGTTAATGAATTCCAAAAGCGGTATTTCTATGAAAACTTTTTTTATTAAAACATTTTCTAAAATGCCTTTCCTCTCTTGATAATAATTTTTTGTTAAATTCAATTTTAACTTGCAAGTGTCCAAACCTTTTGGATAAACCAGGGATAAGAAGGACATTTAGCGATCACAAGTATTTGATTAAGTTTAAATGCATTTGTTTTAAATATTTCCTTTTACCTCTTTTATCTCTGATAATGGATTCATTGAAATGAGGAATGTTGACTCTTGATCTACAAGCAGGCGAGCAAGATCTATGGCCGCACCAGACACTGGGAATTGTGCAGATATGAATTCCTCAGCTCGAGTGAAGGACTATGTGTAAAGATACATAAACAATACATAAAACAAATGTTGAAGTAAGGCATGTTGGAACAATTGAAACTGTCTTACATGTAGAATATCAATATAGGGGAATTTGTGGATTCTCTATTTTAAACATTTTAGTATGACTTCTTTACGAACCACACATCTATACATACAGAAACATGAACTGCATTGTAGTAAGATTCTCTGCCAGATACATGAGATGTCAGATACACCAGATATTGCTCAACTGCATAATTAAATAATTAAACGGTTATATTTGAGACAAACATCCTTATTTAAAAGTACAATCTACGTACATAATTTCCTATAAAAACTACATAATTATTCATGCATTATATTCATGCATTTGAAACTCTGAAATACATGTACACCATCAATCTTCAATCGAAAATGAAATAATAAGAAAAACGACAAAATTTAAATCGACCGAAAATTCCAGATGCTATCATGCATAAAGCATCATCTTTGTTGAGTGGTACAAAATCAACAGAAAAGTCCCCGTATTCCTCGTCAAGAGGACTATTGATTGGAATAGCTGAGTTACAGATGTGCAAGTATGTTTCCCCACCTTTAAAATGCATAATTTTTTTATCCAACATAATATCTTGCAAATAATTTATGTGTGCATTTCACTAAAGAATCTATTAAACCCGTATTTATTATTATTTGATTGATTTTTATATACATACAGAAATTTATTTATGTTCTGTACATTTATATAGATGTTGCATCAATGGGAGATGTAACAACAAGAAGTTAAAAGAAAACGTATGTCTAACAAAATTTAAATAGATAAAAAAAAAACAGACCTGGTAAAACGGATTTGGTGAAGTTTAAGCCTGAAAACTCTTTTCCACTCTTAAAGTCACGTGCGTCATAGCTTGGTTTTACATTAACCAATTCCTAAAAAGCCAATTATGATTAAATAAAATTACCTTTTTAAACTTATAATGTAAAAAAATTAATTAAAAAATTTTGTTTGTTTCAACAATTTCCATATGACCCGTAGAATTGCATTAAATAAGAAATTACAAATTTAAATTTAAATCAGAAAATCAGAGAAATAAATAGACACTAAGTCATTATAAATATATTTAAAATTCCATAGATTCTCACATTTAATTCATTTGTGAGTTGTTTCTGTGAATTTATTCTGTATGTATCTCCATACAGACCGCGAAATTCGTCTTTCTTCCTATACTGTCCTTTTCGTCTGAAGAACTCGTACAAAGCATGGTACAGAAACGCATACTGGTCCTAAAATATCATTTGAAATATATCCACATTGCATGAAACCTGATTGGTGATTGCCAGTAATTTACAAAAAGGAACACAGTTCTTTTTTCTCTGTTTACATCGGATCCTTTTCCTACATTCTCTCTTATCTCTCTCCTCTCTCTCTCTCTCTCTCTCTCTCTCTCTCTCTCTCTCTCTCTCAATTCAAACTTTTTTCCATAAAACTACATTTTCCTGTTAAATAAACATGTCTTTATGTATTGTAAATTTTAACTGTATAAAAGCTCTAATTCGAAATAATCCCGTTTCCTACTTGCCTATATCAGAAGAATAAAATTTTCTAACCCCCTCCCCCCATATTGCTTCATTTTTATATCTCCTTAACTCTTTAATTCTAATACATTACAGGAAGGAAAATTGTAACCTGTTTGCCAGTAATTTATAAAAGAGAACACATTTCTTTTTCTCTATTTACAACACTTTTCTACATTCCCTCTCACTCCTCTCTTTCTCTATTCGAACTTTTTTTCCTAATCCTACATTTTCCTGCTATATGAACATTCCTTTATGTATTGTTAATTTTAACAAAATACAATATCTGGAAAGAGTCCCATTTTCTACTTGCCTATATCATAAGAAACATCTCTTTGTCTTCACAACCCCCCTGTACTGATTCAACTCTATATCTCTTTAACTCTCTAAATTCCAATAATTTGCACTAAGAAAAAGAAATATAGTGAAAAAAGGTAAGGCTAGTTTATTCGTCCTATTTACCACATTCTGTATCATTGTCATCCTGTCTTTACGCATGGCCTTGACATACTCTATGATATTGACCTTGCCCTTGTCCTTGCCATACCTGGACAAAACGTCAAGGGCAATGAATGTCCCGGTTCGTCCAATTCCTGCACTGTAAATAAATAACACGTCTTTCTTTTACAACCTAATTGCTACCACCATTTGAGAAAATGTCAAATCGAAGTATCCCTCTTTGGTAAACGAAAAACAATAGTGAACAATTGATATCTAAAATCACTTTTTTACTTTGATGTTTTTTTAAGGTCTTACACCCTTCAATCATGCATGTTTTAATAAGAGAGAAAGTAATGTTTGAATCCTTAAAACACTTCAATCTTATAAAAAAACCAAAGAGACAGAAAAACCTCATTTGCAAGATTGTACAAAACAATCAGTATTATTCAAAATAATTGAATGTGTGCTTTGAAATCTAACTCGACAGAAGTGGAAAATTAAAAGTTATCACATATTCTTAATGTACTGCATGAATTTTGCACTTTGTACATGTGCATCTTTTTCTGTTTACCTGCAATGTACAATAATTGGACTCTGGGTAGATTTGATTTTGTGTCTAAAGTGTCTGTGGAAGACAACCAAATTTAGAGGATTCGGTGTTCCATGATCGGGCCATCGTGTGTAGTGATACTGTACGACCGTCCTTGACCCAGTGATCTAGAAATAATCAAAAAACACTGCAACAAAATACACATATGAACTATAAAAGTAATAAAATCTGCAATATGATCTTATTTCTTCTATAAACATGAATAATTGGAATTTTTTTCTGAATTGTACTGGTATATGTATGTACCCTCTTTTTCCGCACATTCATTTTTCTTTCGACAAAATAAGCATAGACCGTTTCTTCTAACATGGTTACAGAAAATGGATTGATGTCCAATTCTTTTCCTTCATCTGGCCAATATTGATGACATTTCACCTAAAAGAAAATTTGGAATATTAATTTACGTGGGACTGCTCCAACGACAAACTTTTATGAAGTCTTTCTTAATAAGTCATTCAAGTGGCTTATAAAGTTTGAAAACAGATATAATATGGAATACACTCAAATGAGAAATAGGGGAATAATAATATTAACTAAGACGAATAGCTTTTCAATGGCAATAAATATCATATAATATATAGAATATAGCATAGAACATAACTTCAATCAAACCTTTGGACCCTCAATAAGGTTAGTCAACATGACAATGTATTCTACATGTTCTTGCCATATCATTCTCCAGTGGTCTATCAAAGTGTTCTCTCGGGGGCCTAAAAGACATTCATTCTTTCATTGAAATGCTATGTTACATCGAATATTTTCTAAACATTAAACCTAAATCCGCCAATTTATTTAAAAAAAAACTGTACATTGTAATTAACATACCTTGACAGGCAATGAATTCCCTTCTTCCTTCCATATTCTAAAACAAAAATAAGAGTTTGTTTATAATACATTTAAATATTATCATGTAAGTTTTATCAAACTGAAAATGTATTCAAGGAAATAAGCTGTATATAATACCTCAATATAGTTTGCATTGATGTAATCGGAGGCGAATCCCTTACTGACCTCCAAAATTATGCGAGAATGATCATCTGAAAAAAGAAACGGTTTTGCCTTCTTCATGAACCCATTTAACTAAAAAAGTTACAATGAAGACGACTTATTATACTTTTTAAAATATAGAAACTCCTTTTAAAGGAATTTGATAAAAAAAAAACTGACAGTAATAATACTTACATGTACATTTCCACAATCAATATTCAACGAAACATAAACATTTATAGGAAGTTTTTAAAAGAAATAATATAAGGGGTGACAGTACTTAAGAATGGTTTTTACTTAGATGCAACCGCATTTATGTACAAATTCACAAAATGACAATCTTACAAGGAAACGTGGTTTTAAATCTGTTTCTAAGCATGTTTTCTTCTGTTTTGGCGGTTTCACAAGCAAATCTTTCTCCATAAGGAAGTGACTTTAGTAAGAAAAAAATGTATTTTTATGAAAATGTATCTGAATGAATAAGTGAACATTTTCTAAATTTCAACTTTTTAAACTGCCTAAGAAAGCATCATTGCCTTGACTTTTGAAATTACACCATTATCTTTCTATCGATGTGTAATTTCATTAGGATTTAGGATTTTCTTTAATAAATAACATTGCCTATATAAACCATTAAATGTATGATATGCCACTTAAGTTAATTAGCAAAATAAAAAAAAATGTGGACACCTTGAATTCCTTTTGGAATCCCTCGTTCTCCCTGGCCTCCTTTTGTGTTATGATTGTCAGTAGATCCGACACCGCGATATCCTTGGCCACTGAGAGGTCATTATAATAAACAGCCTCCTCGGGGTTTTCTATTTGTGGTTCTTCTTCTGGATCCTCGATCGCAACGAAAACACTCCCTATATTAGTGTACAACTTGTTTTCCGCTATTATAAAAAATAATTAGGGTAAATGAACAAATTTATAAGAAAAAAAAAACAACTCAAGAATCGTAAGCTATTTCTCATTAATTGAAACTGTATAAAATTTCTGGAATTATCTGGAAATGTTTTTCTTGATAAAATATATACCAGAAGGTGGAACATGATCCTTTTTATAGATAACCATTTCTGATTTGGAATTTTGACGCATTTGCCGTCTGTATCTTCAATAAGAAAAGATATTTACATAAATAGCATTAATTCTGACAGAGTGATGCATTCTGATATGCATATCATAGCCTTAAATTTCACATATTGTGTTTTAAATGAATTGAAAAAGTTAAGTGATATTTAAAACATACCTCAGAACAATAACGACGATAATGATAAAAACCAATAGGAATAATGCAGCTCCAAATCCAGCACCAATAGCTGTAGTCGGCAAAGAAGTTGTGTCACTTACAGCAAGTGCTGGGAAAAATATAATAATTAAATATGAAAACAAAACAATATGTTTCGAAAATTGGATCAAAAGTGGGATAACACACATCAGACACCTATTTAACAAAATGGAAAATTTAAACATCTACAAGAATTGTCCTTTGATCTAAAATAAAAATCGAATTGGATTTGTGGATATAAAAAATTAAAAACGGCAATCTTTAAAAATAGATCTTAACGATTTGAAATGAGTTGTTGTTTATACAAAAGTGTTATTTTAATTTTATCAATGGTGTATGTTGTATTAGAACTAAAATGTAACACAGCACATAAAAGAAATGCAGAGTTTCAGTATTTAGAAAATATATACAATATTGTTTGAGAACTTTTAAAAATGCATGTCACCTGAATGTTCCCAGTTTCCAGTTCCACTCAGTAAAATCATAAATTTTCATTATTTAACCAAGAATTTCTAAAGAAGGCATTGGTTTTCAGTGAAATTGCAAATAAAAACCTGAAGATAACGAACAGTAACTTATCATTTATTATGCTGATATATTTATAATAAATTCTTTTATAATCAAGACGATCATTCTAATCGCAAACTGTTATTGTATCATGGCTGCGGTGTTTTTCCTTTGATGTCAAGTGTACAATAACTGGAGATACACCGATGGGCGGAGCCAGCCAAAACTGTGCCGTGTAAATAAATTATTGAACACCGAGGTGATTTCATCATTTTAATTTACATGTATATTGAATCTGAATTACAGAATGAATGGGCTTTGTAATATATAAATGCAAAATTTCTGCAAGTGAAATAAGTCTTTCACATAAAATACAACTATATATCCCTAAGTGAACTACGAAATGATTTTACGGATCTCTTCAAATATTCAATCCACAGTAACTATAAATCAAATTCTTGACATGAATTCCAGACAGAAATATATTAAAATATCCCATCTATTGTAATATAGGCATTAAGCTGTACTGCATCCACAGATAAAGAGTAATTGACCCCGACACAGCGTTTTCGTGAATACTACAGCTCTCGAATATGTCAAATGATCATCGCGTATTTTTTTTCTTGATTTTCAAAATACACTTGAATTTACCTTCTTCAACTTCGAATTTTTCTTCTTTGATATCCAAAGGTTTTCTTGAGAATTTCATTAACAATCCAGGGGCGGATCGATATCCAGCAATTTTTGAAAGGGGAAGGCTCCAGGTCGGTGCCCCCAGCACTCATGCACAGAATCACACCTCCAGAATCACAACTCGGCCACTTTAAGTCTGTAGCTACATTTAAAAGAAAGGGGGCCTCCAAAACAGTTGACAAGGAAATCCGGGAGGGGGGGGGGTGTTGGGGCTGGGATGCTGCAATCCGACGTCCTTTCTCATGAACACACGCACGTAAAATGTTTATTAAAAATACTGACAGGAAGGAGAGATTATCTATTCGGTCACCTGACAAAAACTATATTTTCTATTGGTGTAATTAAAATTCATGCTGAAAATCTGTGACATGACCTTTGATTGGCCATGATACAAGAGAGTTATTGAATATTTATTATGGTGTAGCCTGATTGATTTGCACGAAGGGCGGCGACTCGTGCTTCGCACTCGTCACCGCCCTTCGTCCAAATAACTCGGGATACACCATAATAAATATACAATAACTATTACTTAAACTTAATCGTACACACCTCAAAGACCTCAAAGACCGCGATATTTACTGAAAAAAAATCATTCTTCCTAACAATAGAAACTTGACAATTCCTGATTTTAATAAGATTTTTTTTCTGCATACAACAAGTGCACAAATATTCAGGAAAAAACGCCATTGTTCAGGAACTCATGGATAGTTTTCGTATGTGTAGTTTATTCAACAAACGATGTAGTTTATTCCTAATTCTGTCTATTAAAGAAGAAGGTATGGTTTAAGCTTTATTGCGCCCTAATAATGTAATGACATCAAAAAGTTTTGAAACTGGCTTAAATATTAGTTAAATAAATGACTCTGATAAATCAGGAAAGAATATGGCATGAAGGTTTACCATTCTGCAAATATGACGTCATTAATGTGAAGCATTTATCTATTTTCAACAGAAAAAGCCTCAAAATGGCACATTTCAAGGGTGATTTTCCTTTAGAAAACAGTGTCCACAGCCGTCGCCCACTTTGATTTTTTTATATTTTGTGCAAAATTCAATAACAAATCACATATCTCAAGATCTTTGTGGGCGATGCCTGTGGACAATGTTATCTGAAAGAAAATTCCATTGAAAATTGGTATCTTCTGCAACTTTTTAAGGAAATACGGGAAAATGCACATGTTTATGACGTCATAATTAGCATTTAAAAACACATGTGAAAAAAAATGACTTGTATGATTTTTCTGCATTGAATTTCAATTATTTAAAAAGCATGAGTTTTCAACTTTTACACCAGTTTCATTTTTTAGAAAATCACGGGGCATAATTTATATGGAAACCATACCTTCTTCTTTTGAAGTAGGAAAGTGGACATTAGACTAAATGAATGTTCAATATATATCCGGTAATTTCAGTAAACAATTTAATTTGATAAAGAAACTATTAATAATAAATTAAAGAATATATGTGTACAAGAATGCATTTTTCAAAAGAAAGATCTAAATCAATCTAAATATACATGTAACTTAATATGATATTATTCTATCTTTTATAAATCATAAATATGTAAAAAGACCCCTGATAAATTACTGTCCAACATACCAATGGAGCATTTCTCGTCTATAAAGTCCCCCTTACATCCTCCTATACACGACCCGTTGTTTGAAAGACAGGTTTTGTTCAAACAGTTTGAACTACATTGATATTCACATTCTTGTCCATAATATGTCGATTCACAGCCTGAATAAATAAAACTTTAAATTGTACGTAAATGTAATGCATGCACAATACTCATTAAGTTAAAACAGTCCCTAAAGAACGCAGCTCTGTTAAGGCTTAGTATGAAGAAATCTACAGAATATACATTTGCATAAAGGGAACTTTTAAAAAATGAATCATTTTTATAAACGTTTTATTTCAAAACGTAACCTTTTTTTCAAATGATATTGTATATCCGTGGTTATCCCACTCTTTACTTGATTAAGTTTGGCCCCATCGATGGACAGTCACATGATAAATACATAGCATGTAGATCATAAACACATTTCATTATCGCAAGGGCATACACTAGGTGAAATGAAAAATGTAAGTTATTGTTTCGGTATACTTTTACTTTCTGGAAAGAACTGCTTCTTTAATAAGACTTTTGCATTTCATAGGTTAAAATTTTAAGTAAATTGGCTCATGTCGAATTATTTTTAACCATAACCAAGTATTTTATGTTCTTTTAAGTCACGCTCTTGATTTAAAGAAAGCAGCAGCACTTTTCAAGTTAAGGAGCATATCGTTTATCTATAATGTCAAAAAATTGTTAAAATCTATTAGGTGTATGTCGTAGAGGAAAAACGATGTAATTGGGCGCTTCGATGTTAAATATGCAAAACCTATACACCAAAAATCGTTAACATTAATTAAATACATTTTCTCGATAAATATTGAATAATCGCAGTAAACAAATGTTTGGCATTGGTATATATAGCCTATCTATAATATGTAAATGATATTTTGTCTCTTTATAAAACACATTTTTAACTGTAAAAGATTACTTGATCTGCCTTTAACTGCACATATAAGATACATCTTTCTTACGAAAAATGACCTCATGTCGACAAGTTTGTTGCGATCAGTAATTTGTTTATAACCTGTTCATGCTGTTGTGTGGGATATAACTATTAGCAACTATTTTAATGATTGACAAGTTCTGTTGTTGTATAATGTGCTAATAAAGTTAAAAACTACACATTATTTTATTTTCTGGTATTATAAGGAAAATCTATTTTTTATGACGCCAATGTAAACTTTTCGCTTACAAAGTAAGACCTGCACCCTTTATTCAGTCTTAACAATGCTGCAAAGAGGAAAAGCAAAACAAGCAATAGAATTACATGTATTTTAACAGTTTCTATAAACCAGTATGATATTCAATTTCCTATTTATCATTTACAAAGTTGACTGATGAATAATTTCAACTGTTAAATAGACAAAGTTCTACTTTATTTTTAAACGCTTCATCTTCTTGTCATGAATACGCATTTGAAATTGTACTAGTTTTTACTGTAATTTATTATTAATGACTTTACCATCACAGTTTTCACCCTGCCATCCTTTTTCACAATAACATCTGCCATCAGCTTGGTTACAACCAGAAATGCACCCTCCTCCACAAGTTTGCAGACAATCAACTCCAAATTTCCCGTCAATGCATCCAAAGGTGCATGAGCCATTAACCTTACTACATATATTTTTACAATTCTGATTGCAAGCCATTTCACATTGATTTCCATATTTACCAACTGGACAATTGCCTTTACATTCTCCTGAGTATCTGCTGCAGCCCGATGGACATAAAGCACTGCAACTCTGTTCACATTTATGTGAATAATATCCTTCATTACATCCTAACGTGCAAACTCCAGTGTCATCATCACAAGTCTGATTGATGCAATTAACACTGCACACTTGTAAGCAGTCAGTTCCATGATGAATTAAATCACATTCTACAATAAGTAAGCATTAAGCATTAATGTTCTTTTGCCTATGATCTACAGCTTGAAACTAATACCGACATGATCGTAGTGGTTTTGTCAGAAGCTGTTTATTATGGAATGTCAGGCAAAAGGCTGTCTTAGGCACATTGTATATAATTCTAATATCCGGTTAAAGGAAAAGCATAACTTATTTAAATGTTTTTTTAAATACATCCATACTAATACATGTAATGTCAGTTACAGGAAGATATAGATATACTCGTATAGAGATACTGTAAAAGTTTTTAGGCCCATGTTGAAATATATTATCCATGACATTAATTCCCATCATGTTTAAAAATACCCAAGTATTTTTCAATGTGTAGACAAAGCAGAATATCAATAAATGCATGTAAACGGTCTATGTGAATCTCAGGACAAAAAATTAATCATTACATAAAAAAATTATAATGTAAGGTTTTTACATGGAGGGCATCACACAGAATTCGAATTGCGTAAGATGAAAAAATGAACATTTTAAAAAACTTACTGTTGCATTTATCGCCGGTCCAATTAAGTTTGCATCCATCTATACAAGTTCCACTTCTAGAGCAGCTGTCTTGTCTGCAGTTTTCACTACATTCAATTTTACAGAAAAAACCATAGAAACCACTCATGCAACCATAACTGCAATAACCGTCTTGTTTTCTACATACTGAATTGAGGCAAGTGTTACTACATTGTTTCTCACACTTGTCACCGTGAAAACCATGTTTGCAGGTGCCGCAATTTCCAGTATTTATGTTACAAGATCCGGGGCTGCAATTGTCACAGGTAACGTTGCAATCAAAACCATATTCACATCCATTTGTACAGATCCCCGTGTTTTTATGACATATTTTCCCCCAACAATATGGATTACAATTCTTCTCACATTTATCCCCATAGAACCCGTCGTTGCAATTATAGCAAACACCAAATATGTTGCAATCCATCGACAGGCAATTAGCTGAGCAGAGTTGTGCACATTCATTTCCCCAGTATCCCTGATAACATTGAAGGCATTTACCGTTTTCATCACATCCCTGGTCTCTACAATTACTGCTACAGGTAATAACATCTATAAGAAATTATTCGTATTTTAAAACTTTCAAATTCAAGAAATCTAGTTATAAAGTCTCTTAAAGATATTGATCGTGTACTGGTGAAACAGGCATTGTTGTCCAACCCTGTTATCTTTATACATAATCAAATTCTGTCTTAGCTAATTACTGTATACAGGGTTATTTTCGCCCCGTTTAATTTTCGCCCTGTCACACTTGCAAACAATTTTGCCCCGTTTTGAATTCGCCCAATCAGAGTTTTATTAAGGAAATTATACTGTATTATTTCATTTCGCCCCGTTTAAATTCGCCCAAATGAGGGAAGGGCGAAAGGGGCGAAAATAAAACGGGGGCGAAAATTTCCCTGTATACAGTATGTAGGTAAATCATCCAATTTTCTATACCGGAGATGGAAATAAAGAATCATTTAATAATGTATCCAAAATATAGTTCGGATTTAAATGAAATGAAACTTCAGGGTCTTGAAATCTGTTTGTCCAAAGCTTTTTGAGAGATCTTTGTTCAATCAAAATATTGCATTCAATATAAAGATATTAACATCAAAAGGGAGAATTTTAATTCAGCACAGTCCTAATGAGTCTTGTTTTTTAATTATATGAAAGGAAAAAGAAACGCAGGGTAAACTTTTGAGGTGAATTAAATTTATTCTTCCATCAGTTTTGCTCAGTGTTCCTCTCTAACTTTTAAAATCATCTTTCAAAGAGATATTACCAAAATCCCATTTTGTCTAACAATTCATTAGTTATTGAAGGTCATATGATGATACCCCACAAAAGTGAAAAACGAAAACTCTTCAATGTCTCTCCTGCACATCTGTCATGAGTGTTCTTTCTCCTTTGCATAGAATTCTTCGGAGTGAGTATTTTTCAAACCCTGGCTATATTGGACATGGGTAACAACACCAAAATTATTAGTCATGCGACGCACGCATGCGCAATTGAGAGGAACACAACAGGAAGTTGACTGTCTCTAAAACCAAATTACAGAATGGTTTTCTTTCATTTTTTGTATGAATATCCTCATTATTATAGTCGACTGTCTAAATGGCCTTTTTGTGGTAGTAGGGTTGCGATTTAAGAGATTGCAGGACGAATAACCCGCTCGTAACATGACTCTGTTTCGCGTTAACGTCATCGTCACGGTTGAGTGAAAACCATTCCAGGCCCTCTCCGACAACGGGTAACAAGTTTTATGGGGGGAACTTTACAAAAAGAAACTGCTTAGTTACCCGTTGTTGCCTTTTTCATTAATTTGGCGATTTGAAAATCAGACCCTATTGAACTTCCGTTAACTGTACCATGATTTCAAGAAATGCATATCGTCTCTAAATACTTTTAAAAATGTATATACCTTAGGTGCATCAAATGGTGCAACAAAATTTGTTGACAAACTCGTCGATATCAACTTGCACGTGTTTTGGGCTTTTAAGCATTTTCCCTACATGACGTCATACACTTTACGGTTGAGTAATTCCGAACACTGATTTTGATGCATAGTAACGAAATTTCTAATATGGCCAATTTTCGTAATTTACGGTCATGCAGTCAAATATTTTTTCGAATTTTATGATACCCTGCGTTTCTTTTTCATTTCAGTACATATTTCTTTTGATATCCTAAACAAAGAAGGAAAAGATAAATTGGGTCCCCGTATTACTTTTTAAGACGTTTTTGTTATCGAATAGGCATGAGTTTTGCGTTCTTGACCCACAATCTTTGCGAGAGAATAAATAAACACATCAAATTGAAAAGAAAATAATTACTTAAACTCAAGCGACTTGTGATTCTTTTTAAAACTTTATGTACATTTAACTATTTTATTTTTCACACCCTGTTTTATACAATATTATAAGTCATTTATTTGACTTAATAAAATTAATGAAAAAAAATGAATGTCAATAAGAAAAGAAAAACAAGCAGTAATTAAATTAAAAAGGTAGTCTATAAACAAATTGAAAACAAATCTGTTACGGTGGGCATAAAACATGGGCTCCTGAAAATTCTAGGTGAGATCAAGGTGCCCACTAGGAGTAAGCATCCTCTGTTAACAGGGCATACCGGTGATCCCTTGTATTGGTCACTCAGACGTCTTTTTTTTCTCAGTAGTCTGTCTTAGTTTCATAATTAATTATACTCTAAGCATGCTTTATCCTCTAGTTTATATCCACTAAAGGAGCATACATATGAAAAATTAAAGGATATTTGGCATTTTATGAACACAGCATTGTGAAGATGGTATCAAATAAGAAAGAAACCAAGGGAATTTACAAAATTGTGATTATTGTTCAATTAATTATATAATTGCATCTTGAATTCTACATTGAAAGCTATATCTTTATCAGATATTGTAAAAAAAGTAACTTGAATTTCAAACAAATCTCTTGGTGAAAATATGCATAAACTTCCTCTCTATTAAACTATGTAATAAAATGAAATTGAGCCAGTGAATGAGAAAAAGGGTCTTATGAAAGTACTGCTACGAGTTGATGGTATTTTTGTTTGGTATGTTGTTTAACATTCCTCTCAAGAATTTTAACTCATATGACTAGACTCCACAAGTTGCCAGTGGATAGCTGCGAACTTTGTCCTATACTCGGGACTTTATGGCCATAGAGCAGTAAGAGATCTTTTTCGTGCAGGTACCTACTGCGACACGGGGCCTCGATTTATACGGAAGGACCGCTCGCTTCGTCCTCAATGGGATTCGAACCCATGACTGAATGATTAACTCCTTCGCGACTCTAGAGCAGACGCTCTAACCACTGAACCACACAGGTGACGTGCTTGTGTTAAAAATATAATGTTAAAATGGTCTCTGATCCTAATTTAGGTTGTGTGTGTTATAAGCTATGATGAAAAACAAAACAAAACAAAAACAGCTTTTTACACAAATATCTCAAACCACGAGGACCAACCTTCAGCAATATTACAAGTAGGGAATAATAACTTACAAAGAGCGCAAAATGAATGAATTCATTAATATGCACATCGAATATTTTCACTATTTCCTAAAAAACAAATAATTTGCATTTTCAGTGCACATCAATATGTTCCAAGTCTTGTGATTAAGCCACTCTAAAATTTTAAACTTTCTATTTTCATTGATATGCATTCTTCATAATTTAAAGTTTTTGATTCGGTTTCTATGATAATTGAGTTCAGCTCCACGTCTTTCTATATGTGATATTTTCTTGGTTTAGCCTCTCATGGAATTCAACTTCTTGACTTGTATGAACTTTGATATGTAAAATAAATATTTCACTTCTCCCGATTTAGCTACTTTTGAAATTCAACTCTTTTTTACTTTTAATTGAAAAGACCATTTTGATTATATGTGCTTAGTCACTCTTGAAATATAACTACTTGACTTCAATTCATATACATATGAGATGATGATTGATTGATTGATTGTATACTATTTAACGTCCCTCTCCCGAATATTTCACTGATATGGAACCATTGCCGGTGAAGGGCTGCAAATTTGCGCCTATGCTCGGCACTCAGGGCCATTGAGTAGGGAGGGATCTTTATCGTGCCACGACTGCTGTGACACGGGGCCTCGGTTTATACGGTCTCATCCGAAGGACCGCCCCATTTATTCGCCTTTTAAGACAAGCAAAGGGGTACTGAGGACCTATTCTAACCCGGATCCCCACGGGAATTGAGATGATGATGTGCTGATGTAAAACTGGTTTCTTTCACTTAGTAATATTTCTACATTTATTGTACACTTGATTAAAAGCCTGAATATTACACACAATCATTATAAGGTTTACGTTATAAACACTGAGAGAGAGAGAGAGAGAGAGAGAGAGAAACTGCACAATTATCAGCATGTATCAAGCACTGCAATGATGCATGAAGGAAATAACAGTATCTGGACCATGCGAATGAGTTCCTTCCAGTGTTTCGTTTTCCCCGATCAAATAGATATATTACATCGCTTTGTCGTCAACTCGAAAACCAAATATATGTACTTTCCTTATATAAGAAAGTGTAGGGGTTCCATTTGACTTGCATAAAGCAACACTCTGGCTAAAATCGAATGCAAAGTGAACTTTGGTGAAATCCGAAGATAACGGTTGGTTGTGATATTCCTGGCTATTGTTACTTTGCAATTCTTCGAGCGATTCTTTAACCATTTTTTTGTAGAGACATCTTTCCTTCTGTGCTTTATCGATGTGACTTTTAAATTTTGTTAAGGCCTCTAATTTCTCTTAATCTGATTTAGCATCAAGAACCTCTTCCTAAGCAATTGACATTTATGACAAACATCAAAATGAGGACCGCATATATTAATATGTGAACAGCAGCAGTTCCATATATTTGTAAATGTTTGGTGCTCTACTCTCCTTGCACACGCCGACTTGTACTGAACATGAAAAACTTTCTTTGTCGAATTACAAGGGAAAAAAATGGGAGGCTCATCATCCCTACCTCTAGGGATTGCGGGCTGAGGGAGGCCAAAATGACATTTACCACTCTATGTACATCATCAAGACTGACTGCATGCTTCGGCTTTCTTCTGTGATTTACATGTCGTCTAGGGACGGCCTCATTTGCAGAATAATCTTTCAAGATATTAGAGAGAGACTTTTACCGACATCAAACAAACACTGAAAAGTTAATCTACATATTTTTACATTTCCAAAGCTGTAATGGTACGGATTTCGAGCTCTTGATCCTTTTCGAGTGACAGAAGACTCCTCAATGTTATAATTATTAAATGTCTTATATGAAATAGAAATGACATGGAACACACGTATATTAAATTCAAAAGATCCAAACATTGATTTAATTGGATAAAATTTTGCAAAATTGTTTTTTTTTTAATTATTATATTTTTTTAAATTTCTATTCTTTTGGTTTTGAGTTGTGTTCAACTATTTAAATCTGGAGAAAAGAATAATTAAATGGTGTACCTTTTAATTCGTATATAATCTCTCTCTCTCTCTGTTATTTTATTATTTTTTTTTATCGTTTTTTATTTGATTTTTTTTGCAGACTTTATCTAGTCCATCCGTCAATATTCTTAGAGTTCTGTTAACCCTGTTTCTACATGTAAGCTCAGCATCAACAGAAATAGCCTCATCCATGGTCACACGATGGTGGTGACTGCTTTGATCAATCGATAAAGTTCAACATGTTCAATAACGGAGGAATTCTACTTCCATATTGAAATTGGAGCGTCTTCGAAAATGCAGACGCCGTGCAATATTCTGACGTTCATGAAGTTTTCTGTGCATTATGACGTTATGTCATAAGATCCCCTTTCTCATAGTCTGGCTCAAATTAATTACCGCAGAAATTTTAAGAAATCAAAAATTTTCTTCTTTTCATCAAGGGTAGATAACTTATTAGAAACTTTTAAGGTGCAAAAGGACTGTCTCCTTTTATGTTATATGTCTTATGAATTTGGTTAATGTAACTTTCATCGTTAATTAGTTGTACATTTTTAAATAGTCTAAAATTATTCAAAATAGTTCAAAATCCCTTCATTATACATTGAATACCTTAAGATTATTTTTAAAAAACACACACAAGAGACAATCTTTTAATAATGTTTACCTTACCCTAAAAATCAACTAAAGATACCGAGAACAATTTTTTCCCCAAAAAATTATAATCAAAGATTTCCAAACTCTCTTTTCGAGAAAAAATATAAATTGACATGTAGTAAATTCTGAATGTTAAAAATATTTAGATAATATTGTTGAACTTTTGAGAATTTTGAGGGGTATACATGTCATTCTAGTATTCGATTATATAAATTAGCCTTATCGCAGTTTTTAATGATTTCTATACATTTTCAGTTTAATTAGACTATAAAATTTTGCATTGTGTCTTCAAGAATATGACTCAATTCTGGTCAGATCACCCTTATTGTATTTTAATTGACATATTAAAAGCTTAATTTTAGCTTGATCTACGGACCAATTAAGACCAGCGAAATTACATATCAAATTAATTCGTGAGGTTACATGTATGACAATCAGTGTAGTGACATTATAGTGGATTTAGCGCTACATTCAAACAGCGTATTTACCTTGTAGTGTATACAGAATACCTTTTAACGAACGTATCTTCAAGTATCAGACGAGGCCGATATCTGAAGATACACGATCTAAAATTTACTATAGATGTATTTTATAATTGTTCTCAGTTACTGAGATACCCATGATCTATCATCGTCACGCAAATGGCACATAATTCAACTGTATTTATGCATTGAGCTAGCCATGATCCATCAAAATTTCGTCTTAATATTTAAGTAACCAATAATAAAAAAGAACGACTTGGAATACCTAATCTAGTCCCTGTACTCTGCTGAATGCGGTTTGTTATGCTGCAATTTGCATTCATTTGATATATTGAGTGAAATATCGAAATGGGATTATATCGTGCTTAATTTTTTATGCAAAAATACAGTTCGGAATAGAATAATTCTAATTACTTTTTTATATATCTATATTGATAAGCTCATCATCGATCAAACAACAGACGTAACATATATTGTAAAAGATGCTCTTCCCACAGAATATATATATATATATATATATATATATATATATATATATATATATATATATATATATATATATATATATATATATATATATATATATCAGAAGTCCATGAATTCACAGTGGTCGGTATAGTAGTATAGTAAAAATAATTAAAAAGAAAACACGAAGACAACAAAGTAAAGCATTGGCGCTTTCATTTAAAAATCTTCAGATGCTTTACACTCAAGTACAATCAAGTTTTTTAACTGTCACATAGTAACGTCTATATATATATATATATTTCATGTTTTGCTCATTTGTTCCTTAATTTTGTGTCATTTTGAAATTATAGCAAATTGATAGTCTTTTGTCTTTTTACCTTTAATAAGTCGAAGGAAGTTTTTAACAAGACTGTATTCTATGTATCATGTAAATGATTCATGATTTTTCAATGTAAAAAAAATCTACTTACCATAGATTTGAATTTCGCATATTTCAAGCATAGCACCCAAGGTTGGGTCATCCTCTGGTGCGTCATATGTGGTAAAGATTCTAAGGTATCTGGCTGTTTTTTTACATGCAATTTTCTGTCTTCTGAAAGGTACTTCATCAGCAGATGTTCTGTCTTTATAACATTGTACCCACTGCTGCACACCAGGAGAATTGGTAACCTCTAAACTATAATTTCTGAACCGGTATGGTTTCCATGCATCCAATGCATTTGAATAGGTTTCTAAAAGAAAACAATTACCATGTTTTTTTAATCATAATTGTCATTAGAAATATTTTAAGGGAATAAAACTTTTACAACATATAATTGTGTTTTTTTCATCGTTAACAACTATTTGTTCTTTAAACAGGAGTGATCAGCTCAACAAAGTGTTGTTTTATAGTTTGGTGCTCCACGTTAGCGCTGAACGTCATAATGTTTGACAATATCTAACTCAAAGCGTTTTGGCAAATATCGTCTTATATTTGTCATTAATGAGGTCAAATAAATGAAATTTTATACACCAGGACACCATATTATAGAGGATTTATGTATGTAAAATTGTTGACATTATCTTCCTGTATAGCCTGAAAACAAAGAAAACTTCATTGAATGGCATTGCTGTTTGAAAATTTAAAAAAAAAATGTTCATGAGCCCACTGCCGATATTTAACATCTTTTAAAGGCTGTTTTAGATGCATATGACATCACAGGCCTAAACTATGTTGTCAAAATATCTAATAGATTAATTTCAAACAAGTTTGGTTAAGTAGTATTTTGAATATTAAAAAAAGTTGGAATTTTTCTGGGATAACCCTCGTATAACGATGTGTACAAACAAATTGAATAGTTGAATGACATGCTTTTTGCGGTTAGGATAAGGCTGTCCGTAAAATATCAAACTGTTTAAACTGCACTTACTTCTCTTAACTACCTAGATATGACGTCATAATAAAACATGACGTCAATTGCAAGTCACTGCATACTTGAGCTTACATGACAGGGAAAGTGTCATAATTTTAACACATGGCATGTAGATTTTTTGGGTGCGTTGTTTTTTAATTCAAGTGCTGGGATTGTTTTTATGCTCCATATGCTGTTATGATGTTGAACATTTGAAATATAGATATCCCTTTTCCTTTCGCTTGTCCAGTATGCACATATTCAAACAGTAGTGAAAAATTATAAATGAAACGCCCCCCTTACACGTCCGTAGACAGAATTAGAATTTATGAATCGTGTTTATATTTGACTGGCACAAGTGAAAGACAAGGATAAATCGGAGATATTCTTCATGAATCTAAAAGAAAAGTATGTCCTCTTACTGAATTTTGCTGGGGGATCGTATGTAGTTTATCCATTTTTGTACAAATCGCGATAAAGATTGGAAAATACCCCGTCTTATGATAGTAAGTTGAATTTGTCGTTAAATATTTTTTTAAGAACTTAAAATTAAACTTGCCCCCAGCACTTTTTATGTACCAGAGATCACGATGAATTGATCGATGCAACAAACTTTGCACAATAATTTTGTTTTGCACTTGTGCCGAAGCGATTTTTGTGCAACTTTAAGAATAACATAAATGTCCGTCACGTGATCAACACAGTCATGTGACATCACAGAAATGCTTTATTATAATACCTGATTAAACTTTTATCTCATGTTGACTGCAATTTAAAACAAGCCAGGATTACATATTGAAATTAAAATCTAGCTTAAAATAAAATGTATATTTTAAGGCATTTTAAGCTTTCTAACAGCCTTATCATTGCTGCGTTGTTTGCACACATCTTCGTACGTATGTGTGTTGCAAAGTTAATGATCCGATGCTAATATTTAGTTACATTTTTAACACCCTTTATGGCAAACCCTTTTGCTATTTATTCAGAAAATTAAATTTATCTTAAAATTCTAGAGATTTTTTTTCATTTTTTAGAGCTACTCTTATAATATAGAGATGTCTCTAAATTTAAAGATATATATCTCAACTTTAAGAAAGATATATCTCTTTCTAATCAAGAGATATCTCCTTCACTTAAAGATATAATTATATCTTACACTTAAAGAAATATATATTTTGCTAAGAGAGATATATATTTCGCTTAGAAAAATATCTATTTTACTAAAAGAGATATCTTTTCCACTGAATGAGATATGTATTTCTCATTTAGAGATATCTCTTTGGTAAAAAAAAAAAAATATGAAATATCTCTTAACGTTAAAGAGATTTTTAAACCGTAAAAGATATCTCTTATAGTTCGAGAGATATCGTTCCCAGATAAAGATGTCCTGCAAATTAAAGAGAAATATCTCTAGTTTATAAAGAGATACCTCTCTAAGATTTAAAGATGTATCTCCTATTAAAGAGATATCTTTTTTACTCAAATGTATATCTGTATTAGCTTAAGGGATATCTTTTTATGCTCTTATTGAAAGAAAATATTTCTTTCTAAAATAAATACATGTAGTAGAAGTGCTTGCTTTATCCTTGCCTTGGCTGCAAAAGAGATATACGTTTTAGAATCGCTGCTTTTTCCATCGGACATGTTGCCATAAATGGAAAAACTGTTACAACAGCTTCTGTTCCATGTGGGCCCGAATTTTGACTGATGCGGATGTCCTTTTACGGAATTCAACATTTTGACATCCAAGTAAAATGCATACTACAACCATTTGACTCCTGTCTGTGTTTTAAATGTTTAAAGCTTCTATCACATTTCATGGGCAGAATGCATGTTAAATGTTAATATAGAAAACTAGATCAATTTATAGCACTGAGCTCATTAAATGATACCCCCTTGAACCTACATTGTAATATGATTATAGTGTCAACATCTTTCTTTTGCTTTTGTGAAAAAATGTATTAATTTAAATAGACCAATGGATAACAATTGTGCTCAGTTTTAATCAGACCTATCTGTATATTCATGTAAAGCAGAATTTGTGCAAATTCCTATGCATGAAAAGAAGCTACTAGCTTGTCTTGGCCCCATCTCGACATTTACATATATCGACAACATATTGTAAATTAGCAATGGTAATTTCCAATCTTATTTCTATAAGATATGTCCAGATGAGCTTTAAAAAAAATGATACCACAGAATTTGACAGATCTGTTTCATATTTGGATATTTTACTTGAAAAAAGACGTCAATGGTAATCTAACATAAAGGTCTTTGATGAACGTGATGACGTGAACTTTTAAATTTTTAACTTCAATTACTTATGCAGCGAATATACTTTCATCACCTGCATACGGAGTACATATATTTCAGTTGACTCGATACACAGGAGCATAATTTACGTTCTAAAACGATGTAAACTTTTGACAAACAAGTTGATGTAACAAGAATATCAGCAGTTCTATCCTCATTTCTTAAGTTCTATGGTCGATATAATTACCTTGTCAACAAATACAATTTATCATGATCATTGAGTCAAATGCTGACTTAAAATTTTCATACTAATTGTTAGTCAATTATGTACAGTGTATACACTGAATTGACGATGGATTATTCCGTCATTTCTTTCATGAGAAGGAGCACAGTCCGGGTGTAACAGGTGGTCAGGGGATGCTTACTCCTCCATTACACATGCTAGCACCTCTGATGTTTTGAAGGTCCCTGTTGCCCTGCTCTAATTTTGTATTGTTTTATGGACTTTTGATCTCGAATACTGTCCTTTATCTCCGTAATATTCGTCAACATATCATAAAATGAATATATGTTATAAAATACTCATAAAATGTGTTATAAATATTCATGTTAGGTATTTTGTTAACATGGTTTTACGAAATAAATCTATAATAAATCTATTTTTCGGTTTTTAACATTTTCCTTGTAAATTCGCCAATTACCTTCATCTCTGTAAAAGATTATAATGTTTTTCAGTTGATATTCCCGTTTTAAGTCCACCATAACCCATGCTACTGATCGATTTTCAGCAGTATGCGAACAATTTGCTTCTTTTTGATTGATATTACCATCGATAACTTTATCTGCAGAAAGGCCATTTCTTGTTGAGCTCTGTGTGGCTGAGCATATTGTTCTTTCACATATGTTATCTGTATATTGAACACAAAAGAAAATATATTGCTGGACCATGTATACCACCTGGGAAACCAGCATTACTATTCAGGTGCTGTATCTCATTTTTTAATCTGGTGCAGGCAGAGAAAATTTTCGATACAATATTATAATTTAAAAATATATTCTATATATTTAAATGTAAAAATTATGTTTATGGTGTATAAATGTTTCTAAAATAGAAGATTTCAGGACATATTTTGATATATTATATATCTAAATGTAAAAAATATGTTTATGGTGCAAAAATGCTTCTATAATAGAAGTTTTCAGGACATATTTTGAATCTAAAAATTGAGTGTACCATGGAACACATGTCATTTGCAACAAAACATCGCTTACATGTAGCATACTTTAGACCCAATGTTAATTTTGATTTATATAATCTTTTTGTAATATTAAAAAAAATCTTTTAACTTCTTTAAAAGATCTTTAAAGATAAGTTTAGGTATCAAAATTAATTTCACAATGTGGTTTATCTCAAGTAAAACCTCCATTAAATTACCATGGTTATTTTTTTTTTGTTGTTGTTGGGAAGAATTTTTTTAAGTTACTTTATTTTTATGCAAAGAAATTTAATTTCAATTATTAAATAAAGCAACCATTCCAATGTTCAATTGAATAGAAAAGAACGAATTTCAGAGTACTCCATGATTTTTCAGTAACATACCGTAACAGTTGATTGCTCCTGGTAACAAAATAAGCAACATCCAATGAAGAAAAGCCATTTCAAAAAGGAAGTAATTTTATAAAATCCACCAACCGGAGAAGAGACAACAACGGTGTGTATAAAATCTCTTGTGGCCTATAGAAAAAGATAAATACATGTCTATTTATCTAGTTCCAGAGGGGTTTTTTTCCATTAAAGATGTTAAAATCCCCTTAATGTTTCAATATTCATCAAATGCACATCTTATATATGTAGTTTTTTTCTGTTTGTATTTAAGTCAATATGCTTTTATCTCTTCTTAAAAAATTAACAGCGGTCCACGCGTAATAAATGCAAATTCCTGATATAAACAAGCATTATGGCTGTTCTGCATAAGTTATACTTTTCCTATACCGACAAGCGTAATCTGGTTTTCATTAACTATTGAAAATTCCATTATTCCATCCAAAATCAACGAAGCGAAAGGAATTGCAACTCATC